CCAACTTGAAAACTGGGCCCATAATCAAAAATCTAAATACATGTTTAGATTCAGCATATCAAAGAATCCTAAGAATTCAATTTTTGTTAAAATCAAACTAAGTTTAATTTTGGACCCTTTGGACCTTAATGTAGACCAATTTGAAAATGGAACCAAAAATTAAGAATCTAAATACACGGTTAGATTCGGCATATCAAAGAACCCCAATAATTCAATTTTTGATGAAATCAAACAAAGTTTAATTTTGGACCCTTTGGACCTCAATGTGGACCAATTTAAAAACTTGGCCAAAATCCAAAAACTAAATACACGGTTAGATTCAGCATATTAAAGAACCCCAAGAATTCAAGAATAAAACCCCATTGAAATTGGTCAAGAAATAAGCAATTTATACGAAGTATCTTCATTTGCACAATACTGTGCAATTAAATATTTCTTGCTATTGCGCAATACTGTACAATTGACAATTTCTTGCTATTGCGCAATATTGTGCTATTGGATATTTCTTGCTGTTGCGCAATACTGTGCAATTGAAGATTTCTTGCTATTGCGCAATACTGTGCAATTGAAGATTTCTTGCTATTGTGCAATACTGTGCAATTGAAAATTTCTTGCTATTGCACAATACTTATTATATAATAATTTACACATCCTGTTTGGTGTGTATCTCCTACCATATCATTATTATTTGCTTTTAAATATAAATCAGAAATAACCAACTTAAAATGGAAAATTTTAAAAGAAAAAATAGGAAAGAAAGAAAAAAAAGGAAAAAAAAAAAAAATCCCCCCCCCCCCTCAAATTTTTTGAACCCCCTTATGATTCATCACACCCAAACTCAATCCCAGCCTTCCCTTTGTGGTATGGTACCTTGCAGTACAATTTCAGAGAGATCCATACACTTGAACACAAGTTATTGTCTGGAAACTAGAAAAATGTGTTTTTTGGCCCCTTTTTGGCCCCAAATTCCTAAACGTTTAGGGCAATTATCCCCAAACTCAAACCCAGCTTTCCCTTTGTGATATGGAACCTTGTAGTACAATTTCAGAAAGATCCATACACTTACACACAAGTTATTGTCCTGAAACTAGAAAAATGCTTGTTTTTTGCCCCTTTTTGGCCCCTTATTCCTAAAATATTGAGGCAATTACCCCCATCATCAATCCCAGCCTTCCCTTTGTGGTATGGTACCTTGCAGTACAATTTCAGAGAGATCCATACACTTGAACACAAGTTATTGTGTGGAAACTAGAAAAATGCTTATTTTTGGCCCCCAATTCCTAAACGTTTAGGGCAATTACCCCCAAACTCAATTCCAGCTTTCCCTTTGTGATATGGAACCTTGTAGTACAATTTCAGAAAGATCCATACACTAACACACAAGTTATTGTCATGAAACTAGAAAAATGCTTGTTTTTTGCCCCTTTTTTGGCCCCTAATTCCTAAAATTTTGAGGCAATTACCCCCAAAATCAATCCCAGCATTCCTTTTGTGATATGGAACCTTGTGGTACAATGTCAGAGAGATCCATACACTAACACACAAGTTATGTCTGGAAGTTACAAAAATGCTTATTTTTGGCCCCTTTTGGGCCCCTAATTCCTTTACTGTTGGTACCATAACCCCCAAAATCAATCCCAACCTTCCTTTTGTGGTATTGAACCTTGTGGTAAAATTTCATAGAGATCCATTCACTTAAACTAAAGTTAGAGTGTGAAAACCAATGTGTCTTCGGACGATGCCGGCGACGACGCCAACGTCATACCAATATACGACCACAAAAATTTTTTTTGCGGTCGTATAAAAATGCTTATTTTTGGCCCCTAATTCCTTAACTGTTGGTACCATAACCCCCAAAATCAATCCCAACCTTCCTTTTGTGGTATTGAACCTTATGGTAAAATTTCATAGAGATCCATTCACTTAAACTAAAGTCAAAGTGCCAAAACCAACGTGTTTTTGGACGATGACGTCATACCAATATACGACTGCAAAATTTTTTTTGCGGTCGTATAAAAACTTTAACCACAGAGTGAATATTTGTGGACGCCGCCCACGATGACGGAATGTAGGATCGCTATGTCTTGCTTTTGCGACTAATTTTCCTTTCTTTCCATCAGAGTGGTTAGGGAAACAAGTAATTAGGTTTTAGGTGTCGAATTCCTTGTGCAATAATATAGGCTCGACAAAAATCATCCCTTTCGTCTTATATTTTTTAGAATTTCTGCCGTGTTAATTTTCCTTTCTTTCCATCAGTGGTTAGGGAAACAAGTAATTAGGTTTTAGGTGTCGAATTCCTTGTGCAATAATATAGGCTTGACAAAAATCATCCCTTTCTTCTTATATTTTTTAGAATTTCTGCTGTAACACTGAAATATCTAAATCTTGGAAAGGCCAGTTATTGCTGTTAATATTTGATTTGTTTAAAGTAAGTTCCTTTGGGGAAATTTCAGCAGTATATTTAGAGAATTCTTGATAACTTAACGAAAAAATATCATCAAGATAACTTAGTGTTGTTGAATTTATCAATTAAAAGGAATTTAGACAGTTCTTTACCGAGTTTGGCAATAAACTGATTCATAACAGTAAAGGAACAAGTCTGCTATTATAGGGGCACAATTGGTGCCAATAGGAATACCTACATGTCAATAAACTTTATTGCTGAAACGTACATTGATGTTGTAAAAGAGATAATGTATGGCTTTAATCATCTCATCACACCTCCAGTAAGTATATCTAAATGCATGAGTTCAATAATTTCGATAACATTAAAATTACAAGAAACTCGCTCGACTTTAAATCATGACATTTTAGGTTTTAGGACATTTACACCTATGTATCCCATTTATCTATCTAGAAGGTTGCGAGCATATCTTCAGTAATCAAAACATCTTTACATTTGCATATATCTACAAAAATTGTTTGAAATTAGTGTTGTCAATTGAGAGCAGTGACCAAACTTTGACAAACCATACATGTACTAATAATACAGGTGTCAAAGACTCAATGTTGACCATTGAACCATCATCTAGGGACATGCCCACCTAGCCAAGGATTTTATAAACCAAATAGTTACGCCATTACTCATAGCAACTGAAAAGATCACACTTAACAAAAAATTCGTAAGGGTTCCGCGGAACTCAGTGTCTCGCCTACTTTTGCTATTAATCGCAGGCTCAACAAAAATGAGAGAAGGAAAAAATTTAATAAAAATATTCCTCTCGATACAATTTTTTTATTGTAAGAAGCTTCTGTCCAAGTTTACCTCTGGATACTATCTTATGATCATGAACAAGCTTCTGTCCAAGTTTGGTAGAAATCCAGGATAGTTTAAGAAAGTTATAAAAATTTCAAAAACTTTAACCACAGAGTGAATATTTGTGGACGCCGCCGACGGAATGTAGGATCGCTATGTCTCGCTTTTTCGACAAAAGACGAAGGCTTGACAAAAAACAATGATAATAAACAAACCATTAAAAGAATGTCAAGCTCAGATGATCAGATTCTTCCAACGATTCACAAACCAAAACACTGTAGGGGAATTTGCATTTCTGTGTCTTTGACAAAATGACAATTATGATGGTCATTCTGTTAGGTCATCTGGCATAATTTCAAAAGGAGGAAAAAGTTTGGTTTAAAACTGATACAGGTGTTTGGATCTTTTCATATAATGGAAATTAATACTAGAGGCTCTCAAGAGCCTGTGTCACTCACCTGTATCTACTGTGGTTTTGGAAATCATGTAAAATAAGGTTTAAATCATAATAAATAGTATTAGATACTCCAATAATGATTGAGACCAAGTTTGGTTTAATTTGGCCAAGTAGTTAAATTAAAAGCAGGTCATCCCATTGTAGTTTTACAATAGTTACTGAAGACCCCTTATTATTTAAATTAGTTTTCAAGTTGTGACCATTTGAAATTTTCCCACAGACTTCTATAGTAAACCCCTATGTTTTATTTTTAGCCATGGCAGCCATCTTGGGTGATGGGCGGGCTCATCGGATACATTTTTTTTAAACAAGATACCCTAAGGATGATGAAGGCTAAGTTTGGTTTAATTTGGCCCAGTAGTTTCAGAGAAGATTTTTGTAAAAGATTACAAAAATTTACGAAAAATTGTGAAAAATTTACTTTAAAGGGCAATAACTCCTTATGGGGTCAATTGACAATGTTGGTCATGTTGACTTATTTGTAGATCTTACTTTGCTGAACAATTTTGCTGTTTACAGTTTATCTCTATCTTTTATAATATTCATGATAACCAAAAACTGCAAAATTTCCTTAACATTTACCAATTCAGGGGCAGCAACCCAACAACAGGTTGTCTGATGCATCTGAAAATTTCAGGGCAGATAGATCTTGACCTTATTAACATTTTTCCCCGTCAGATTTGCTCTAAATGCTTTAGTTTCAGAGATACAAGCCAAATACTGCATTTGACCCCCATGTTCTATTTATAGCCATGTCGGCTATTTTGGTTGATGGGCAGGATCATAGGATACATTTTTTTAAACTAGATACCTTAAGGATGATTTAGGCCAAGTTTGGTTTAATTTGGCCCAGTAGTTTCAGAGAAGATTTTTGTAAAAGTTAAAGGAAGACGACAGATGCCAAGTGATGAGAAAAGCTCACTTGGCCCTTTTGGGCCAGGTGAGCTAAAAAGGAGATGTATTTATTAACTGTACATATATGAAACAGAAGCAATCAATCTTGACTTAAGCAAGGTTGGGCGGTATTTACCACCCCCGGTATTTACCAGTGTAAGTGTAAAATTTTGTCACCCCCAAATTTTTGTATGTCACTGCTTGGCTTGCTCTTAATAACATATTAACTGATGATATTAAAGAGATGGCAAAGCCTGGTTTTTACCAGGCAAATCCTTCTGAACACAATTCCATCATGTATCAGAAGATATGTAGAAGTAAAAAAACTTGACTAATGAATTTTTCCTACTTCATTCTCCAACACAAATATAACAGGCAAAAGATAAAAATAAATAATTCTTCATCATCTCTTTTAATGTCTATACACATTAATTTCTGCTTAGGCCTTGTATCCTCTGCTCTTCCTACGTCCTCTAGCTCTCTCAAATTTCCTTCCCTTTGAGCGAACCAATGGTCTAAAAAGTAGAAAAAATATTTATCACTATAACATATAACAAATGTGAAAACAAGAAAAAATAAATGGGGAATGTGTCCAAGGATGATACCACGCTTGCATATAACGTTATAAAGGATTATAACTCAAGAAAGATAAAAGTGACCCTACCCAGCTTCGTACTTGATTTGAGTTTTGCTGTTATAAGCATTGTGTATGAGTTTCATAACATTTGATAGAGGCAAACTTAAGTCGGACAACGGAAACAAAAAATTCAGCAATTTTTCCATTTGTAAAGGGGCATAACTCTAGAATGGTAAAAGTAACACCTTAATTCAAACTTGATCTGTGTTTTGTGGTAATAAGCATTGTGTATAAGATTCATAATGTTTGGTTGAGGCAAACTTAAGTCAGAGAACGGAAATGAAAAATTCAGCAATTTTTCCATTTGCAAAGGGGCATAACTCTAGAAAAGTAAAAGTGACTCAACCAAATTCAAACTTGATCTGTGTTTTGTGGTAATGAACATTGTGTATATTAAAGTTTCATAACATTTGGTTACAGCAAACTAAAGTTAGAGAACGGAAACCAATTTTGGGACCCACGGACAGACAAGGGTAAAACTAAATGCCCCCTTCGCTACGGCGGGGGCTTAAAAAAACTGCAAATTTTATTTTTTACTGATCTAAAACCTGTTCATCATCTAAAGGACTAAAGGTAGTGTAATTATATGTACACCAAAATGATCGTTTTTTTTTAACCTAGGGTCAACTTTCAACTTCTAATGACACAAAATTAGGACTGAAGTGAAATGCTAAATAGAAACAAAGAAATTACTGTTCTAACCAAAAGAAATCGGACAGTAATTTTGTGGAAATTGCTTCTCTTGGTTAATTCAATTAAAATTGTGAAATGTATTTGAATTAAAGAGCTTACGCTGTATGACTGTGTGGAACACCTGTAGCAGCACCAAAGTAACGGTAAGATTCCCTGGCTTTCCTTCTACCTAAAATTATTTTTAAAAAACTTCATTATTCAATCATCCTCCATCATAAATGAATGCAAAGGCTCATACAAAAATAATCAAAAAATGTTTTTGTATCAAATCTAAAGTTTTCAATTAATTTTAATTTCCAAGGTCTTATACTGTTGTGCATTTTTCTATGTTTAGAAGTGTATAAAACTGCCATTGATATAGATCTTACCTTGAACAATAACAGTATTCTTTCCTCTAGGTGACCTGAGGGCCAGCTGATCAAATGTGATGATTTCTCCACCAGCCTTCAGAATTCTTGCTCTTGCTCTCTCTGTTACTCTAAGGGCACATACCTGAAATCCAAAAACCTCTATTTCAATAATGTGTTTGGGACCATAAATATGCACACAATACAATTTTACAAATATCCCTAAAATATTTAATGACAAAAATTGGTACTGAATACAAGACCTTTGGCAGTTCATTATTATATGAGCAATTGTTAGAGAACAAACTGGTATATGCATGGTACATGCATGTAAAAGTAAAAGACTCAGCATAAAAAAATACATATTTGAAGGCTTGTTCAATCTACTGTAAATTCAGAAATTATTGCGTGCATTTATCATTGCGATTTTTGAGGAATTAACAAAAATGGGAGTTTAATGATTGCAATTTTAGGAAAAGCTTCATATATACATATGTATCATAATATGTATTATATATCAAAATACGAGTTCTTATTATTGCAATACTAAGGAGTATTAATTTCTGAATTTACAGTATGCAATATCAATTCTCAAGTTCTCATGCAATTTTTTCATTAGAATCAGATGAAGGACAGAAGCATTATTCTAAATATTCTAATGGCAGAAAAAGATGAAGAATGCAGGCATTTTTTTCTCTCAATAAACTCCCAGAAGTTGACAGGAAGTATAATATCAGTTCCAGATTTGGCGAGGACACGAAATTTTCAGGAATTCCGGTATGTGAAGAAAATAAAGATGTGCATTCCTAGATCTTTTTTCAGAACCCATAAATACACATCTTTTAACTTTTGGAATTGCATGTTGGTTATCGAAAAAAGGAACAAAAATGTGTACAAAAAGAACGCAGTGAATGTTGTATATAAATTTCTTGGTCATACATCATGGTAATAAAATGTTCCACAGGGTGCAGTTTAATACGACCGCAGAGGCCGAAACCCTGCACAGTTGGGGCAAGTATGGACACAACATTCAAGCTTAATACAGCTCTGAATTTTGATCGTGATGAAATATTTGACACAGCATAGGTTTCTTACACAGAAAGAACGTGTTGTAAGAACTTAATAAACTGCTTCGCTGAGCGCAGCTGGATACGCCCGCAGAGGTCCAACCCTGAACAGTTGGGGCAAAAATGGACACAATATTCAAGCTTGATACAGATCTGAATTTGGATTGTAATTAAATAATTGATATATTATAGGTTTCTGAATAAATATAGTTAAAGAACTTGAAATTGGTTATATGAAAGATTTCTTGCTGTTGTGCAATACACTGTGCTGTAGCTTAATACTTAGTAAATCTGTTGTCAGACTATAATCAAATAAAATCTTAAAACTCCGAAACATAAAATCTAATTTTAAAAATCAAATGGGAGCTTACAAAAATAGATATAGACAATTTACCAAAGTTTCATAAAAAATGCTGAAAGCATTTTTGAAAGCATTTTTGAGTTATTGTCCGAAAACTGGAAAATCCCCCTTTTTGTAATGAATAAAATCCCATAAATCAGAAAAGTATTGTCTGAAATTTATAAAAATCAAAAGGGAGCTCGGGTCCATAGAAATAAACAATTCACCAAAGTTTCTTGCAAATTTGTGAAATTGTTTTTGAGTTATTGTCTGAAAACTGGAAAATCACCCCTTTTTTAATGAATAAAACCCCAAAACTCGGAAACGGTAAATCCGAAATAGATATGAACAATTCACAAAAGTTTCTTGCAAATTGGTGAAATTTTTTTTGAGTTACATGTATTGTCCGAAAACTGGAAAATCCCCCCTTTTTTAATGAATAAAACCCCAAAACTCGGGAATGATAAATCTGAAATTTATAAAAAACGAAAGGGAGCTCACGTCAATAGATATAAACAATTCACCAAAGTTTCATGCATATTGGTTAAAGCGTTTTTGAATTAATGTCCGACATGTTGACGACGGACGACAGACGGTCAATGGTATACCATAATACGTCCTGTAAACCGCCGTATAAAAATATGAAAATGGACATTTACCTATTATGGTCCAATTTCCAAAATCTAAATAAATGTGCATGGTTAGATTCAGCATATCAAAGAACCCCATATATTCAATTTTTGTTGAAATCAAACAAACTTTAATTTTGGACCCCAATTGGTGCCAACTTGAAACGGGTCCTAAAATCAAAAATTTAAAGACATGTTTAGATTCAGCATATCAAAGAACCCCAAGAATTTAATTTTTGATGAAATCAAACAAAGGTTCATTTTGGACCCTTTGAACCTTCATGTGGACCAAATTGAAAACAGGGCCGAAAATTAACACAAGTGCACACACTGAAATGTGTCGCCTGCATTATTGACCATTGATTTTATGTTGCAAGTCTTCAAGATAAAAGTTTTACTACAAGTATAACAAAAACATAACATTTTTATATGGAAAAGATGAATAACCGGTGCACCTACAAATGGCATGAAGCAATTAGTTCAGCTACTTTCCACTTCAACTTGTATGTGTAATGTATAATTTGCATTGACGAACATGTTTGATGCACATTCTAGTATACAAAGGGATACCACATGTCCTGACAAAATATATATAAGGGAGAAAGAATAATATACCTTTATTTTGGGTATCTCCATTATACGAACATCATCAGTAATAGTTCCTACAACTACAGCTGTCTTGTTGTCACGTCCTTTCTTCTTCATAAGACGAACCTACAGCATTATAAATAATACTAAAATGTGAACTTATCAAACAACATTGATCACTTCACAGACTGCATCTTTTAATCAAAATATTCACAGAAAGACCGGTACATGTATGCAGAAATTATATTTAACAACTTAATCTTAAAAGTATAAATAAAACTACTGTTTTCAGTTTTATCTGACCAGTCACAAATGTGACAGAACAAAGAACTTTTATCCACCTGATTTTATTATGTAAATTTAGGTTATACTACATGTACATGTAGTTTCAAATTACTGAATAAGATTGCCTGAACAATTTTGGGGAACAGACCACCTAAAAAATGTGCGAAACTTGACGTGCATTAACTCCATAGACCTTTCCTACAGCAGCAGACTACTGCACACCTGCAGTCGAAAAATATTGTCATTAGATGAATAGTCATGAAACCCAAAATTCACATCTCATTCTTATGTACATATACTAACCAATCTGGCCAATGACAAAGGAGGCCTGTTTGTCTTGCTCATGAACAAACGTTTTAAAACTATCTTGTTGAACTTGGCATTTGTACGTCTTGCCAGAAATCTGTAAAGCTATAATAAAAATGATAATGTTAGCATATTCTGACTTAACTCAAGTGAACAAAAATTTTACAGTGTATTAAATAGAGTCTGCAGTTATATCAATGATTCTACTTTAAGCCAATAGCAAAGGGCATTATCCATTGACTAACAAACCAGAACTTGTGTGTTTTTTTTTTCTTAACTTGGAAGAAACCCTGAATGTTCTAGGACATACTAAAACTGTGATCTATACCAGGAAAGGACCTGAATATCTGAAGGATTCTTCTTTACCTGTTTTATAATGGTGCTCTGCCATCTTCAAATAAACTCCTCCATGGTTGAAAGCTGGTCAAAATTTTTTTGCTAGCCACTGCATTTTTGTTAGCAGTTAGAATCAAGACTAATTGCACAACCGGGACCCCCCTTGTATAAAAATCTAAATTGTCCTCCTAAATTCTGTTTTAATGCCCTGGGCCCTAGGGCCAGAAGGATATTAGACTTATGATTGCTGTACAGGTACACAAACCTGACAGGAGACACAAAGTTCAAAGTTCAGATGATTAACTGCATTACCTTATTGCTCTCTTCAAATGAGTACAAGATTTGACTCTTAATCATAAAACATAACATGTACAGAATTCCATGCCAAATAAAAACAGTACAATAATAATCAATCAAATTGTGTAAAAGTAAATACATCAATATTATCTATCATTTGATAATCTTGAAATTTTATGTCATGATTCCTAAATTAATTTCATAGTTAATAAACAATTATGGCATTTTCAGTTTAGAATGTCGTCTTCATGACATGTTGATATCCATTTACAAACAGTTGTAGTGGATCAGATGTCTTTCACCTCAGACTGCAAACCAAGCATGATGAGAACAGACTTAAACACCTGAATCAGGTAAACCAGAGAGGGAAGGCTTTATAAAAATCTTGCACAACTAATTATAAACAGCATGTATATCTTACTACAGAGTGGGAGAAAATTGTTAATATATTGGTATACCCAGTTAAAACACTGATCCAAGATTAATTGTTGTTTTGGGTGTTTTAGGGGGGATAATTTTCTGAATTTATTTCTCCGAATAACAGAAGGATCTACGTACATACATACAATCAAAATGCATTCCACTTTTTATACATCTTTGTCTGATCATGTTTAAAACTTTTTAGCAGTAATACAAATAGGTGCACAGGTTGGACTAGTCCAAATAATTATGAAATCTGTAAAGGCTACAAGGCTGCGTTGGAAAGTCACAGCAATAAATAAAAGAGTCTTTCAAGACATCGTAATTATTTGACTAAACTTGGTCTTCAATCAAGATAAAATTTTGAGGTGTCAACATGGCATACATCTATTTGCCAAAAGCCTTGAAAAGGTGATGATCATGACATGAACCTAGACGCGGCCAAGTCTCAAGTCTATGCTAAAATATCCCATTTCACAACCTTCAAATTTATTTTTTACTTGTGTGTGATATACTAGTCTTTGATTAAATCCAATGGCTTCGTACAGTACACAAGTATTAATGGAGATTGAAAGGTGTTAAGCTCTTTTCACATGTGAACACTGAACAGATAAATCCGATATCGAGATCGCACTATCCAAATACGTTAATATTGCAATAATTTTCAATGCATTTGTAAACGTATCATGCAAAAGCCATGACAATGTATATGGTTAACACGGTCGTTTCTTGATACATACTTTTACAAGGAGTCGAAGATAGATATCCTGACTTTTGGGCTCCTTTCTTCCAGTTTTTCTGTCAAACCTATGGGTAATGTCGATACCCTAAAATAAAAATAAGAGTCAAGTTTAATGTATATGTCACAAAAAAGGAGAATTAGTTATCATGTGCATTGGATGGGTCTAGATTCGTTTGACTTATTAGAACTTTACACGCTCACCATTTTGACGGGTTTTAAAAAGGAAGTTGATATGTAAACAAGGGGAGATAAACCTAAAATATATATGGCGCGCGCGATTACTAAAATTTTAGATAGACTGAACGTACATATTTATAACTTGATTATTCATCGATATGCATTGCAAGCAAACTAGTACTGTAGTTCTCAAAAAGGAATAGAAAATGTGGAAATGCATATCAGTGCTTCAAATTACATTTTTTATGATAAAATATAAAAAAAACTACTAAGTAATTGGTATGCAATTAGTATAATAGTCCCAGTGAGTAATCATAAAAGGACATGTATTTAGAAATTTAGAACCACCTTTGGTCTATAGAACAGAGGTCCATGGTTGTGAAACAATTCAATTGAGAAATCTAACGCCTAATTTATAAATAAAACAATTTACGAAAAACAAATATGACAGACATGAACCAACGACAACCACTGAACTACATGCTTCTGACTTGGAACAGGCACATATATAATGTGACGGGGTTAAACATGTTTGTGAGAGCTCAACCCTCCCATAACCCGGGACTGTAGTGTAACAGTACAACATGAGAACAATCTATAACAATCAGTTGAAAAGGGCTTAACTCATCAGATCGCAGTGGAGGATCAGGAGGGGGTTTCCGGGGGTTGGAACCCCCCTTTTTTTTGGACGATTAATGCATTTGAATGGGGACATATAGTTGGAACCCCCCCTTTATCCTGGGTTGGGAACCCCCCCCCTTTTAAAAATGGCTGGATCCGCCCCTGTATCGATACAAAGCAGAAAAATATCTTACACAACACAGGGTATTTATGCATCCTTAAAAGCAAAAAAAGAAGACACCATGCAGAGATCTAAGAGTACCCTCAGTTACTTACAGTTAGTTCAAAGCCAATAACAACCATTAAATAAATCGTGTATCTAAGACTAAAATATCAATCAGTACACATCCAACATCCAATGGATTTAGTGTAAAGACGTCATTAACACTTACAATCAAAGAAAACACGACCTAACTATGGTATGCCAAACTACGGGTATCGACAGATTGTAGTACCGTGAATGAGCATCTGTATATAACAATAATATTTAGTATGGTTTTGATTTACTGATAACAAAATCAATACCTATAACCAATAAAACAATATTCAAAGTTCTTATTACAGTGTTGAACTGATAACCTTGTAGAATAATATTATTTAAAAGGATTGATAGGTTTACCCGGATCGTATCTAAATTCCCGAACTCGGTAAACAACATCACCGTAAAAATTAGGATGTACTATTCCGTTTGAAATATTTGTATCTATGGAAGAATTTAGTAAAGGTTTGAAGTAATTTGTGGAAACGAAATCCCTGACTTACCAGTAATACATAGATTATGTAATAGTTATACATCGAGGGATAGGTGTGTCTGGAGAAGAAACCCCGACGGCCGGAGGCCGGAGTGGTTTCTAATCCAGACACACCGTATCCCGAGGTGTATAACTAACTTACACCCCATGCTAAACCCTATATTTCTTAACATTAATTACTAAATGAAAAAAAATGGATAGCATATTTATTTACAATATCAAACCATAATTTATAAGAATTTTTTTTACATGAAACCCCATTAGTAACCTTAATTTGGCTATCTTCGTTCAAACTTTGACAAGTGAGTAGATTTAACAAATGTCAAAGTTGCTGTTTTGCATATTCCCGTTAAATCCATGTGCTAATATGGATCAGCAGGTCAAGGTTGACCGTTTCGTGCATTCTTATTTAAATAAAAATACATCAAACTCCTTGTATGCAAATGTCAATATGGACGGGTATAAGACGGACGACATTTTGAGTCAAGCGTTGCACATGGATTTGGTAGAAGAGACTAAAGATAAAGGCAATATTATTACCCAAAGTACTTACCTGTATCAGTTTAATGAAGGTAATCATAAATGTATTTTATATGTTACGGTTTTATAACCCCCTTTTCTTCTCAAATATAAACAAACAATCATATTCGGACATACTGAGCCTGAGGATAGTTGTGTCTGGATTAGAAACCCGACGACCGGACACGCTCAACATACAAAAATACAGATTGAATATTTAGGAACTCCTTTTCTGGGGGCAATCCAGTGGTGGGAGGTCCGGGAGTTAGAATCCCCGTTTTTTAAAGATCAATGCTTTAGAATAGAGACATATGACTAGGATTAGTGTCGGATCCAGGAAGGGGGGGGGGGAGAGGTTCCGGGGGTTGGAACCCCCCCCCCCCCCCTTTTTGTGGGACGATCAATGCATTTGAACGGGGACATATGGTTGGAACCTCCCACCCCTTTATCCTGGGTTGGGAACCCCCCTTTTAAAAATGGCTGGATCCGCCTCTGGGGATCAAAAGTTTTACGTTCAAGCAAAGAAGTATTTAAAGGATTTATTTTTTATTCAAAATAGATGCTTAATATTTTTTTCGCTATTGGAATTTCCTAAAATGTGTTTTTTTGATATCTTGAAACAAGTTGTAGTGAACACTATTAGTATTTTCCAAATTCCATCATGCAAAACACAATACAGAAAAGAATCTTTTTTCCCAAGAACTATAACCGATTGGAACAAACTATATGATACCATTATAAATTCCACATCAGTAGACTCTTTCAAATCCTCAATTTCAAAGCATCAATATTAACCATTACATCAAACTCATTATACATAAAAATTTTCATTTTTTCCTGTATTTTTTATTTTTCTGTATATATAAATCTATGTCTTGTTGTAAGTTTCCTCCTGTGACATAATCTTCAATTTGTTGAAGGCGGTCACTATATGGTAGAAGTAGAAGAAGTAATTTTTTATGTTCATGCTATTTAAAAAAATTAAATAATCAATTTCTATTGTTATGAATAACAATGGACTGTGTTGTCGGGATGTAGAAGCAGGGGTTTCCAGAATCCCCGCTCGTCACACCCTGTGGTCAAAATCCATTGTTATTCGTAACAATAGATCTATTCAATTTACACTTGTTTCAGAAATAGAAACTATGAAGTATATCAATAGAACTGGGGTGTAAGACCATTGAAATCTAGAACGCCACCACAGACACATGCATAGCGAACGAATTGGGATATATAAACACCGTAAGACGCGGTGCCAGAGGAAAACAACCGTCAAAAAAAAGAAAATTAAAAATAGGGAAAGAAAAATCGTCCCTTTCGTCGTGATTTTTTGTGTAGAGTTTTCGTGTAAAACTAAAATATCTAAATCTAGGAAAGGACAGTTTTTGCTGTTAATATTTGATTTGTCTAAAGTGAGTTCCTTTTGGGTAAATTTCGGCAGTATATTTAGAGAATTCTTGATTATTTAACGAAAAAATATCATCAAGATAACGGTAAGTGTTGCGAATTTATCAATTGAGTGGAATTTAGACGGGTCTTTACTGAGTTTGGCCACATAACAGTACAGGAACAAGTCTGCTATTAAAGCCTTTGAAGGGGCGCGATTGGTCTCATCGCACCCCCAGTAAGTATATCTAGCATATTTGCTTTTGTCATTAGAGAAAAAGGCCGTTAGTCTTCTCGTTTGAATTGTTTTACATTTGTCATTTCGGGGCCTTTTATAGCTGACTATGCGGTTTGGGTTTTACTCATTGTTGAAGGCCGTACGGTGACCTACAATTGTTAATTTCTGTGTCATTTGGTCTCGTGTGGCTTTGTCTCATTGGCAACCATACCACATCTTCTTATTTTTATATTTATATAAGTTGCAGCAAATAAATTTTCTATCAGGTTTGCCAAACGACCATTTAATCAAATAGGTTAAATTTTCTTTGATACGATCGTGTGGAAGTGTAGTATAAAGAGTGAAAATGTCAAAACTGTCAACCGAATCAAAAGGACCATTTAAAGTACGTGCGTTATCTTAAACATCCAAAGATTTTTTACACTCCAAAATAACGGTTAATTCCACTATTTGCATATGTTTTATTACAAAAGTTAAAGATAAGTTATTTGATAGTAGGTACGGAATTAGTTAAAAGCACTGAAAGATTAGTAGTATAACACTTTTAGAGGCCGAGTTGAAACGACATTTTACGGTTTCTTTTGTGTAGTTTATGTAACCAATACATAGGGGAGCCTTATAATGTTCAGAGGAGGCCTTTTGCTGAGCTGTGGAAGTGACATGATATTTACGTTTTGACTCTCTATGGAGCATACGGCCTTGAATGTAGTTGAATGTATAATTTCATTCTTTAGGACTTCCGTGTAGTATTTACGTCATACCACCACCACATTGCTGGCTGCTTTGTCGGACGGTACACTTCTACTAGGAGTTATTGCCTTTGAATGACGAAATTTAGATTTTTTAAAATTTTTGCCTATGATCTTGAAAATCATAATAGGTCAATGATAAAGAGAAAACTTTACATAGCAAAAATTACCAGAAGACAAGATCAATAAATACTAGTAAGTCAAATGATCAAAATCGCTCGAGGACTCTTTATTGGAGTTATTGCCCTTTAATGACGATGTTCATCCGTTTTTGGCGATTTTGCCTTATACCTGAAAAACTATAATAGATAGATAAAAACATACATGAACAAAAATGAACAGCAAGATAAGATCTACAAATAATTTTCATTGTTGAAATCGTCTGATGGCTCCTTATTGAAGTTATTGCCCTTAAATGCAGATTACCGACCGTGCGAGACCCTCATGAGTAGTCAAGGTCGTGAAACACCCCAAAGTAGTAATGTAGATTTATCCTTTTTAATATTTTGCGTTTTTGTCATATATTTGAAAAAAAACTATAATAGATAGCTAGATAGATAGAAACTTAAATAAGCAAAAATTAGCAGCAAGACATACAAATAAATCTACTGGCTGAAATAGTCAAGGTCACTCCTTATTGGAGATACTGTTCTTTAATTTTTTAGTG